CAATGAACTCTGCTTCCTTGAGTACAATTATATTTGCCTGAGGACAGAATTGTGACAAGTGAGAACAACATAATCATTTATGGGATCGATATTTTTTAGTATTTTTCAATATTGAAGTGGCTTTTGTCTGAACTTAGTGCTTTTGTTTATTTGTTTCCAGTCTGTAGTGTAGTTCTCTTTAAACATCCTTTCAGCTCTATCTCTCTGGTGCATATCTCACCGCAAAAAGGCCAAGCAAGTTGTTGAAACTTGGGAGAAACTATTTAAATCAGCACAAAGGGAGCAACAAATTTCCTTTTTATATTTAGCAAATGACATCCTGCAAAATAGCCGGCGCAAGGGCTGTGAATTTGTAAATGAATTCTGGAAGATCCTTCCATCGGCTCTGAAGAGTGTTTACAATCTTGGCCATGAAAACTGCAGGAAGGTTGCTTCGAGACTGGTAAGTTCATTCACAACACACACCCATAGGCAATATCACAAACTTTTCATAATTAATTAATTGGAACTTGAAAAAATACAAATGTGTCAACTCCTATATTATATCGACCCTTAATTTGTTTATATACGTATAGTTTTGAAATTATGATAGGGAATGTGCTATTTCCAATATTTCTATTGCAGATTTTGTGTCCACCTCCCATTCCCCCTAACCAAACAAATAATAATAATAATAATAATGAAAAAGAAAGAAAGAAAAAATATCTTGTTTCCAGGAGTGATTCTAGTCCTATAATATCTGATTAAATTTTATATGGGAGTGATTTCCTTGTGTATGGTTGGATGACCAGATAATTACACTATAACATGTTTACTTTAAAAATAAATAAATAAAATAAATTACAATTCTAATGAATGTTATGCTGTTTGCGTGGTTCTCTTTCAAATTTGATAGACATTTTATCTTGTCCAGGTTTACTCATTTTGTGGAAGTTCAGGCGAGATGATACAAGCTATCACAAATTATTTGGCTTTTTGATGCTAGAAAGAGAGTATCTTTTACTTTAAACTTAATTCTAGCTGTTAGAGACAAAATTAATCTTTTAGGTTAAAGTCATAAGAGTTTGGATTCCCGAGTATTGGAAATTCTCTAGAATAATCCTACTAGACTAATGGGACCTTGATACATTTTTTTATGGTTTTTTATCTTACTGTTATTTTCTTATGATTTACGTATTTCCATAACTAATACATCCATCTCAATATGTACCTGTAGATATACTACTTGGACACATTGTCTGATTGTCTGTCCTTGTTTCGATGGAATTGTGATTTTAGTTTGAATTATTTGTCCCCAGTCAGTTCAGATATATGTAATAGATCTTTATAAACTTATCACATTGTAGTTATTCCTTGTTTGCTATAAGAGCTTCCAGTTTTGCACAAAATGGTAGATTTGGCTATTGAGGACAATTTTTCATTGAGTTATATGGATATTTCATTCCTATTCCTATTATTGAATCTTGTATAATTTGTTCTTATCTCCTGACGATTGCCATCTTGTTTTCTGTCCTTTAAATTTTGCTTTTTGGTGTCTGGTGGTGCTCTTTATATTAGGTTAATATATGGGAAGAAAGAAAAGTTTTTGGATCAAGGGGTCAAAATCTTAAAAATGAAATATTGGGCAAGATGACTCCTGTCACTGTCAGCAATGGAAAGAATTCAAATCCTATCAAGGTTGTGAAGAGAGATGGCAAATCATTAAGAATTGTAAGTATAACCACAACTTTATGGCTGTAAATAGTTCTAATCACAGTAATTTTTTATGCGGATATCTTCTCATTGTCAAAATTCAGAAACTAGCTGTTGGGGGTATTCCGGAAAAAATCTTAACTGCATTCAAGCTGGTACATGATGAAGATGTCAATGAAGAAGCAGCCTTAAACCAGTTTAGAAGTGCAGTTCCTCACGTTCAAGAGATTGAGAAAGATGTTGAAAATATTTCTTCTCAAGGTGTGACATGATGCTCTCCGCTAGAATTTATCTCATGGTGTCTAAGATAATGTCATGATGGGATTTTTTTCTCTTTCATTCCCCCCCCCCCCCCCCCTCCCGGGGGCAAATGCTATAATTGAAAGAGTGGTAGCTTGTTCTTGTTTAATGATCTGCAAGTTAGATAAACATTCTCTAACTGCATGGATGATTTACATGCTTTTTAACCCTCTGATATGATATCTAACCTTCATCCATTTTTCCAGGAAATCTGCAGGGTTCTGATTTGGTGGACAAGATACAGGAACAGGAGAACACAGTTCTACAGTGTGTTAGACAACTTGAAAATGCTGAAGCAATCAGAGTTGCATTGGTTTCCCAGCTTAAAGAAGCACTTGAGGATCAAGTATGATTTTATTTTTGCAATTCTCATATCTGCAATTATGACTTGTAACACTTTTCAAAGTCTGAAACTCTATTTTTTCAGGAATCAAAACTGATGCTGATACAGAGTGAGCTACATGTAAGGATCTCTGTTTTCTCTCTGGCATATGTTATCAGACCCATTGCAAATGCCTGCTGTTTAAATTTTGTTTTTGGGAATGGTTGAAATATTTCCCAACTATAGGAAATCTCTGGCTTTTTTCCCCGTCCACGTAGGCTCTGTGCAGTTTCCATGCCACGCATTCTCTGTGCAGTTTCCGTGCCACTCTCGCCAACATGCACATCCATAAAACTGTCCTTTTTACAGATTTTGTATTACTTTTTTGGTCTGGTGGGAATAATCTGATAAAAATTTGGCTTGAAGTACTGTGTTGTGTTGATGTTCCTTAAAAAATTAAAATAGCATTACAACGAGGCTTCTGGGGGGGCAACTTTATGTTCAAAGGTGAGTTGCTAGTAGCTGAACTTTTAGTGAAAATGGGTGAAAATAGTTGCAAGTGACTAAGTGACTTGACCCCATTTTTTATTCACAAGGCAAATGGTACAAGTAAAGGAAGTGCATAAATTTTCTTTGAGTGTGTTTCTTCACATTGGGCACACAATGTACCTCGTCTTGCATCCATGTCTGGAGCAAAAAGATGAGGACTCTTTGCGGTACCTTGATGCAATCATATAATGAAGAGAGTCTCTATTATCACTTCCACTAGATACTTCACATGTGAATATGTGAATACTCCATTATAAGGATTATATATATCCTCAATAATATTGATATGTCTAATAAAAATTCCTTTTTTGTAGAACCTGCTGTAGGTTTTATGTGGGCACCCTATCATGTGCCCCCCTTTTTTTTTTTTTTTTTTTTTTTTTTTTTTTTTTTTTTTTTTTTTTTTTTGCAGATATTTCAACTTAAGGTAACAATTTTAACTTAATTTAGTTGCTGATATTAGCACAAGCGATCTCAAGTCAGGTGCTAGGATGCCTAACTTGTGCGTATATCTGGGAACTAAGCTCAAATAGTTTTTTTGGTGATTCCGAAGTGAGTGACCTACCAAATTCAAGTACTAAAAACTGTGGGTGCACTACCTCATTCGGGAAACTTCCGTTAATCTTTGTGTTGTTTATCAGGCAACATTAATAGTTGACGTTGTTCATGGTCTTCCTCGATATCTTCCAAGTATATATTTTGTCATATCGTATATTGTGAAGTTTTTACTTCGTTCATAGTTGCATTAACTTGTTGGAGAACAATCTTATGTTTCACAAGTTTCTGCTGTTGACAATTTATTTGAGATGCAGGTT